AGACCAAGAAAAAAGAAAGACGTCTTAGTTAATGATACTGTCAACATTTTAGTTCCCTATCCCTTTGTTTCTCTTTTCTCTTCCACCTAATCTTTTTTTCTTCCCTTTCTTTTTTTCTTATTCTTTTCCTCTTCACCCTGTAGTTTGCTTTCCACTTTTTCTCCTCTGTCCCTCTTTCCTGAAATTTAAGGCAGAGAGACAGAGACAGAGACAGAGAGGGAGAGAGAGAGAAAGAGAGATGCTTACTGTCTTCTAAGTATGTTTTTCTTATCTACAAGACTAAGAGATATCACCAAAAATGCTCAATTATACCAAATATTGGGTGGGAAGAAAGGGAGGGGAGAGAAGGTGAGGTAGGTCTAGACTCCTCCTTTCTTCCTTTAATGGTGTCTGACTGGCCTGGGTGTCAGTAGAATTGTGGGATAGTACTGCTCTTGTTTTATGAAGCTTCACTTTTTCTTCTCAGAGACCATGTGAAGGCAATGGAAGAAAGGAAATTGCTTCATAGTCTTTTGTCTAAGTCACAGAAAGGACTGCCACCTAGGAGAATGAAGGACAGCTATATTGAAGTTCTCTTGCCTTTGGGCAGTGAGCCTGAATTACGAGAGAAATACTTGACTGTTCAGAATACAGTAAGGTAACACGGTACTATTTTTGTTTTACTTGTTTTTATTTTGTTTCCATTTTAATAACTACTTTGAGATAAACTCATGTACCATATAATTCATTTATTTAAAGTGAACATCCTGTGGGCTTTAGTAAATTAAGAGATTTGTTTAACCATCACCACAATTGATTTTAGAACACTTTCATCACCCCGAAGTACGTTATTTATTTTTAAAGGGAGATCATCATGATTTTTATTTAATTCACAGTTTGCTTTATTTCACAGATTTGGCAGAATTCTTGAGGATCTTGACAGCTTAGGAGGTATGGTATTATTTTAGTATTTTTAATACATAGTTATACATGGAATCCTATGCCTAGAAAGGGCCTTTTTATTCTTTAACCTGCACAGATTGAGGATATTCTCTTATGACAAGAAGGGTGCCTACTGCCTTTGAATTGTCATATTTTTTTCTTGTAAATACAGTTCCTACTTAATACAATAAGGCTTCTTCCTAATAATTTTCTATTTTTATTTTTTAACCTATTTTGGGTCCTGGGGATTGAACCTGGCACCTCATGCATACTAAGCATGTGCTCCACCAGCTCTCTGGTAATTTTTTAAAAATAAAACTTATAGAAAATTTGCAAATGCCTTATAAAGAATTGTTTTTCCCTGAATCATGAGAGTAAGTTGCTGACAGGATGCCATCTCACCCTCAAATGTTTTAATGTAGATTTACTATAAAGGACATTCTCCTACATAACCACAACATGACCATCAAAATCAGGAAAAGGGTGTTGATATGTTATACTGTCTAATCCTCAGACCCTATTCAGCTTTTACCAAAGGTTCTTTTTTTGGGGGGCGGGCAGTGCTGGGGCTTAAAGCCTCATGCTTGCTAGGCAGGCACTCTACCACTTGAGTCACTCCTCCAGCCCTTGTATATTTTAGGTATTTTCTTCAGTTTTAAAAATGAAAGCTTTCCATGGTTTATTTTGTCACTTAAAGATTCTTTTTAAAATTACTTTTATTGGCATATAATAGTTGTACAGGGGGATACACTGTGGTATTTATATGTGCTTATAATATATCTTAGTTGGATTTACCTCCGCCATCATTCCCCCTCTTTCTCCCTCCCCTCCCTTCTTAGAACAATTTCGACAGGTTTCATTCTTCTGTTTTCATATATGGATCAAGATAGGATCTCACAAACTATTTGCTTGGGCTGGCTTTAAACTGTGATCTTCCTGATCTCCACCTCCTGAGTAGCTATGATTACAGGCATGAGCCACCTACGCCCAGCTCACCAAAGGTTCTTTATTGCAGTAAGATGTAGTTGTTTTTTTTCTTTTTGGGTGGGACTGAGGTTTGAACTCAGGGCTTCACACTTATAAAGCAGGTGCTCTACCACTTGAGCCACACCTCCATTTTGCTCTGGTTATTTTGGAGGTGGGATCTTGAGAACTATTTGCCCAGGCTGGCCTCGGATTGTGATCCTCCCGATCTCAGCCTCCCAAGTAGCTAGGATTACGATGTGAGCCGCTGTGCCTGGCAGAAAGATGTAGTTCTGAATCATGTTGCATTTAGCAGTTGGGTCAGGAATGATTCCTTAGTCTTTCCTAGACTTTTGTAGCCCTGACTCTTTCAGAGGTTGTTGGCCAGTTTTTGTGGATTGTCCCTCTGTTTGGATTTGTCTGATGATTTATTATTATTAGCTTCAGGATATGTATCCTTGGAGGAATGTCACAGAAGAGATGCTGTGTTCTTACTGCATCCCACTTAGTGGTGCATGACTTTGGTTTGTCCCATTACTGATGGTGTAAACTTTGATTAGTTGGTGAAGGTGATGTCCATCAGACTTTTGTAAAGTTAGTCCTTTCCCCTTTGTGGTAAATAAATACCTTATAGGGAGGTACTTTGAGACCTTGTAAAGGTCCCATTCCTCTATTCCTTATCACACTTTCAATTTATTATTATCATTATTTACAGTGCTGGAGATTGAACCTAGGGCCTTCTGCGTGCCAGATAAGCACTCTAACACTGAGCTACATCCCTAGTTCCTCATTTTACTACTCCTTTTTGATGCAGGGTCTTACTGTATAACCCAGGCTGGCCTCAAATTTACGATTCTACTGCCTTAGCCTCCCAAGTGTTAGGATTACAGGAGTATGCCACCATACCCAGCTCTCAATTTGTTATTTTTAAATCACTGTAGACTCAGGGATTCCTATTTTATTGAGTGGGTTGCTGTCATTTGTTTTAATGCTCAAATCTTCCCAGTCCATTTAAGCTGGTTTCTGTATTTTTTGATGTGTCCCCATCATTCTTTGAATACTTTTTCAGTTTCTACCACAATAAGATATTCTAGGCTCATCTTTTTTTTTATGAGTCAAAAATTTTATTTGCTTATTTCTTGCATTTGAAGTACTCTTCTATGACATCCTTGGCCTGAGACTCTTTGCCATACTCCTTAACCACCACACAACTTTACGGGGTTTTCCCTCTCGATCTATTTTGCAGAGGCCTACCCATTCCCCTAGTTTCTTGTTGTCATCAACCTTAATGAGGTTAATTTGGTGCTCAGCATAAAGGGCCTCTACCAACTTGACATACATGGGCTCATTGGATGCAAGCACACAAAAATGGGTTTGGCGCTTGTCTAAAGCTTTGGCAGCTTCGCGAATTCCACGTGCTAGGCCATCCTGGATGAGAGCGGTCTTTAACACCTCTTGTAAAGCAGTATTCATGTCCATAACACCTCCAGCAGCAATGCCTTCCTCGGCCATGGCGGTGGTTTACGAGTGGAGCCGAATCTTGAACACACCCGAGTCTCTGCCTCCGCACGACTCGGTGGCGGCTGGGAAAGAGCTCTAGGCTCATCTTATACTTTCTCCAGCCCAGTTCTATAATCATCCAAATCGCCAACGAACCCTGGTTTTTTTTAATGGAGAATGATATTTAGAAATCAAGATCTGTGGGGCCAGGCATGATAGTACATGCCTATAATCCCACCTACTTTGGGAGATGGAGATAGGATTGTGGTCTAACCTGGGTGAAAGGGAAAGACCCTGACTGAAAAGCAAACTAAAAACAAAAGGACTGGGGACATGGTTCAAGTGGTAGAGCAATTTCCTATACAAGTTTAGTCCCTAGCACCACCAAAAAAAAAAACCAAAACAAAAGCAAAAACAGAAAGAAACCAAGTCTGGTGTTGTTTAAGCTGGGGAATTTATATATATCCACATTCATTTACTTATGAGTTTCCACTTGTAGCTCCAATTCCAGTTCGACACCATAGGGTTCTCTTTTGATATTGGTAAATTCTCTTCTCTGCATGACTCCTTTTTGTGGCAGCCTTGCTTGCTCCTGCATAATAACTTGAACTGAACTATTGGGCAAGGGTTTGAAGACGACCCTAAAAGTATTTAAAATACAGACGTAAGCCCATTGTTAGGCTGACATGTAGCTCCCTTTTTCTCCAGATTAAATAAACCTAGTTAAGAATAAGAATTCTTATTTCTCTCTCTCTCTCTCTCTCTCTCTCTCTTTCTCTCTCTCTCTCTCTCTCTCTCTCTCTCTCTATATATATATATATATATATATATATACATTTATAGTTGTATATTTTACTTTGGTTTACGTAGGTTTCTTTATATGCACAAACTCTTCTGCCCTTGCCCTCTTCTTTGCTCATTGTCTCCTGTCTGTGGCCAATCCTCTTCACCTGTTCACTTGGTTCTATTCCTACCATTTCTTCAAAGAACTTATATCACTTACACTTTCTTCCTCATATCTAAGCCTATTCCCAACTTTATTTTTCTCTCAAGTTATAAACGTATCAAGGTTCTGGGGTTTGAACTCGGGGCCTCACACTTGCTGGGCAGATGCCCTTACCTCTTGAGCCACTCCACCAGCCTTGTTTTTTGTGTTGGGTATTTTCAAGATAGGGTCTCACAAACTATTTCCCTGGGGGGCTGGTTAGCTTTGAACCTCTATCCTCCTTGTCTTTGTCTCTTAGACAAATCCTTAGTTAGGATTACAGGCGTGAGCCACTGACATCCAGCTTTCAGACTGTCTTTGATAAGTTTCTGGAAAGAATTGGAAAGGTATTTGTTCTCATTGCCCCATGTTCCAGCCTATTATTTGTCAGATGCTGTGTTCTGGCTTCTGCTCTTCTGTGGATTTCAGGGAGAAAATTGTAAATGTTGAGAAATAATTTTGCTTTTCCCTTATTATTCTCCTGGTTTCCTACAGTTCTTATATGCTACATGCACACTCAAAATCATTCTTCTAAGATGTCTCCTTTATCAATAGTTACAGCCCTGGTGGACAAGATTGGTAAGTAATATTAGTTTCTATGTATACTTAGAGTTTTCAATAATTATAAGATACTATTGAAACTAAAGGAAATACTCTCTTATGGGGAATTTTAATGTACATATACATATGACAATATCCAGAATGCAATATACCAAGATACTTTTATAATTAGGTGGAAGGGTTTTTCATGATTCCAGTTTTATCTTTTATATTCTTTGTATCATCTATAATTTTCAAAAAAGACACACAAATTTCTCTTGTGTCCAAAAACTTTTTTATTTTTGAAGACAAAGAAATGTAGTAGAACCTGCCAAGTTTTCAAATGATATAGTCTATTTTCAGTACAGAAAAATTGGGGTTGGCTTGGATGCACATTGATTTTCTGTTTTACAGATATGTGTAAGCAGAGCATAAGCCCAGAACAGGACATTAAGTTCAGTGGCCACGTTAGCTGGGTTGGGAAGACATCCATGGAAGTGAAGATGCAAATGTTCCAGGTATGCATGTACCTGAAGGTTATCCATATAGTTTACCACTTCTAGATGAACAATTGACAGTTCATATCATGCAGATGGTTGGTTAACATCTTCCTCTTGGGTAAAGACTGACTCATTATTTGATGTTTACATTTAATATTTATTACTTTTTAATCATGTACAACTCCATGTTAAGGTGCTTGTTTCTGGTTTTGCCAAGGAGGATTTCACAAAAGTCTGAGTTATGTTAAATGTGAATGGAATTGATGGGTATATTACTTTCCTAAGGCTGCTGCACCAAAAAGTACCAGAAACTAGTGACTTAAAAACACAAGAAATTGCCAGGTGTGATGGCGTACACTTCTAATCCCAGCTTTTTGGGAGATGTAGGTAGGAGGATCACGGTCCTGGCCTTGGGTAAAAAGCACAAGACCCTATCCAAAAAATAACTAAAGCAAAAGAGGGATGGGGATGTACCTCAAGTGGTAGAGCACCTGTCTAATAAGCATCTGTCTAGTAAGCACAAGACCCTGAGTTCAAACTCCAGTACTCCCAAAAAGCCAAAAACCAAGCAAACAAAAACTCACAGAAATGTATTGTCTCACAGTTTGGTGGCTATAAGTCCAAAATGAAGATGTCAGGAGGGCCATGCTCCCTCTGAAACCTATTGGCATGTATCTTTCCTGACCTCTTCTTTGCTTCCAGTTGTTCTCTGCCTCTGATACCAGCATACCAATCATGGCCTTCTTCCATGTAGCTATATCTCTGTGTCTCATTAGAACACTAATCAGATTGGATTAAGGGCCCACCCTATTTCAGTATGACCTCATCTTAACTAATCATGTCTGCAATAACCCTACTTCCAAATGAAATCATGCTTATAGATCGGGTGTTAGGACTTCCACGTATCTTTTTTTTTTTTGGTGTGTTGGGGGGCACAATCTAACCCTTAATAGTCATTTGGGTGACAGTTTGGAACAGTTCTCTAATGAGCAAAACTTAAAAATAGCTATTATAAACAAATGAAGAAATTTGACAAGAAAATGTACCTCAGAGGATAATAGCACAGAAATCAAATAATTTAGAGTATGACCAACATTTGACTGTGGAAAATTTATTTAAGAATGACTTATTCCCCAGGGTACTCAATATTCCGATGCACTTTTTTCTGCTATGTCATTATGAAGCATTTTCCCTTTTGGTGGAAAACAACTTTGAACCTTCAGAAAAGTCTGAAGCTTGCTATGCAGAAAAGTTATTTGTCAAAATAACTTTTGAGGAATTTTGGAGGAATTATTGAGAGAGAGCCAATGAAAAGTGAATGTCAGAGAGGTAAAAACTTTTGTTTTAAATTTCCATTTCTTGTTGACCATTTGACTTATAACTCCTGACTTGAGTAATCCATTCTATCCCAGATAGGTGACAGGGGGATAAGCCTTCTGTCTCTGGTTTGAGTAGACCTGGGTTCTAATCCCAGTTCTGCTGCTTGTTAGCCATGTGACTTAGCCTTTGTTTTCTCAAGTGAAACTGGAGGCATTAGATCCTGATCCTCCTCCAATCTTTCCATTGCCAGCCTTCTGTTTTCCTCAGCAACAAACCTTCGTGATGGCATTAATTTTTTCCTTTCCCATGCAGCTGTTTGCCAAGTTTCACAAGTCTTGTTACCTACAGCCACAAACCAGAATCCTTTCTTCCCTATGCCCTTGTTTGCTTGCTTTATTCATTTCCTCTCTGCCTCTTGTGGGAGTGCCTTGTGTGTCTGTTCATTCATCTGCCTCCTTCTAATCTGTCCTTTTTGCGAATTTACCCATTTTTACCAGATAAATCTTCCAGAGCTGATCCTGAATCATATTACTCCCCTTCACAAAAGCTTCAGTTTTTTTTGTGAATTGAAATCTAGACTCCTTTGATTATTTAGGTGTTTCATAAACTAGCTCCAACCTTTCTTTCCAACTATATTCCCTGTGACTTACCTTTTTTTTTTTTATGGCACTGGGGTTTGGACTTAGGGCCTCAGGCTTGCTAGGCAGGCATTCTTACTGTTTGAACCACTCCACCAGCCCTTTTTTGTGTTGGGAATTTTCAAGATAGGGAATAGGGTCTCACCAACTGTTTTCCCAAGGCTGGCTTTGAACCACGATCCTCCTGATCCTCTGCCTCCTGAGTAGCTAGTATTACAGGCATGAGCCCCCAGTGCCCATGGACTTAACTTACCTTTTACATACCTTAGCGCTCACTGCTGGTCATTGAATAGCTTAAGAGTAGGGAGTTACACATCTTTGCATTTCCAGTGCTTGGCGCTAACACGTGTTCATTATGATACATCATATTCCTTTGCCTGAATTTCCTTGTGCTTTGGCTCTGAGAATCTGCATCCTTACTGTGCTCCAGGGTCACTTCATGCTCAACTCCTTCCCAGAGTATCTGTTCCTTCCCCAGGACTCCTTCCTCAGGACCTGCTCTCTGACCCTATTTCCTGGTACCTAATACTCAGTCCTAAAGAGCTGTGTGCAGTATATACAGCTTTTCTCTTCCACTGGACTATGCTCCTCAACACCAGGATTTGGGTTTGGATCACTCTGCCTACTTTCTGACATCTGTTAATTTAACAGTTTTTGACACTTTCTTATCAAGCACTTATTCTGTGCTGAGCATACAGCAGTATACAAAATAGATGGTTTCTTTCTCTTGGAGTTTATATTTTAGTAGGGCCCAGTCATGACCCACCTCATTCATTGATTATTTGCTATCTTGTCAGTCTTTGTACTGAGCACTAGGGATTCAAATATGAAAAAAATGGTCTTTGTCCACAAGGAGCTCACTGTACAGAGGGGGATAGCCACATACATGAATGATTATGGTATATTATTCATCATTTCTCAGCAGAGACACTTGGAATTTTGTGCAAGAAAATTGTTTGTTCTTCAGGCCTGTCCCCTACATTGTGAGGTGTTTAGCTCCCTGGTTATCCCCTAGTAGTACCTGCTAAACACCTCTACACATTTCCAAATGCCTCCAACAAGGATGGCATCTACCTTTCTTCACTTGAGAACTGATTTCAAGAGAGGACTTTTTGAGCTCTGATAAACTGGCCAGGGGAATAGGGGTGGGGCAGGAGAGGAGCAAAGTGTTTTGAAGCATGAGGCCCAAGAGAAGACTTCTGGAAGGGGCATGGCTGGAGTTGATCCATAGTCTTCTGTATCCCAGCCTCTCTCAGTTTTTAGCTGTGTCTAGGGTGAAAGATGCAGGCATAGCAGTGTTTGTGAGCAGCTGGAGAGGAATCTTGGGCTGTGTTGAAGGAGGATTTTTTAGGTCAGGTGCTGGGAGAAATGAGGCCCTATTGGAAGGTTTAATCAGGGCAGAGGCATACTGAGATTGGTGAGACTTCCCACAGCCAAGGAGGCAGTAGACCTTGAATAGGAGTGGTGACAAGGCCTGTATCATCTGTTGAGAAGGGAACTGAATATGCCCTCAGGTTACCTGAGAATGTATTTCTTTCACTACTTTGTCTTTAGGATAGGATTTCCGTGGAAGTACAGACTTCTAGGGCTAATGAAACACCTCAAACCTCAAAGGTCTGTGCATCTTAAATATTTGAGTTAATCTACAGAGTCATCAGTGATCTTACCCCCTCCCCTTTGAGAGCTCCTGTGCTTGGCTGAGGGGCATAAGCATGTGCTGGTAGTTGGCATGCAAGTTCCCTAGAAGTACTTGTGAGTGTGAGTACAGTGGGAGGTCCAGCTGGTACATGCCATCAAGAGGAAGGGTAGGTCCTGAAGAAAGCCCAGATTCCATGTGATGTGGGTAAGTTCAGTGCTGATGATGTAGAAGGTCCTTCTGTGACCTTTGCCCTTGGGTCCCAATCATCCACAACTCCAAAGATCATCCTAGCACTTCTCACACAGGGCAGCATTTGGGTTTTGAGTTATCTTTCTCTTCTGTTAGATCACAGGCTCCTTGGTCATCCTGCCATTCTCAAGAGTTGTCCTGGCTCACAGTACTCAGCAAGTGGTAGTTAATGAGTGCACTTTTCCTCTTTTTCTATTTCCTAACTTTCTGAAAGCATGCATGCTGCCAGAGTTGTGGTAGGTCTTCTGGGTAAGTGGGCCAGGGGTTTGAACTCAGGGCCTCATACTTGCTAGGCAGGTGCTCTACCACTTGAGCTACACACCCAGCCTTTTTTGCTTTAGTAGTTGTTGGGAGTACATTGTGACATTACAAAGGTTCTTGCAATATATCATAGTTGAATTCACCCCTGTAAATGCATTTCTTACATCTACATTTTCTTTCCTTTGTTTTTTAGTTGCACAATGATGAATTTTGCCCTGTTTTGGATGCAACGTTTGTAATGGTGGCTCGTGATTCTGAAAATAAAGGGTAATTGGTGTTTCTTCATAATTCTTTATTTTGAAGAATTTCAAAGACATGTAAAACTGGAGAGAAGACTAAAATGGATTTCCATGTACCCATTACTTGAACTTAACGGTTTTAATTATAATGTTTTTTGCCAAATTCATCTGTTTTTTTTTCTTTAAAGGAAATGTATAATATTTTAAAACAAATCTCAGACTTTTCACCTCTAAATACTTTAATGTAGGCATCTTTTTAAAAATTAGGATATTTTATTTGTTAACACATATTGTACATATTAATGGGATTCAGTGTTTCCATACATGCATATAGCATGCACTGATCAAATCTACCCATCCATTCCTCACCCTCTACCCTTTCTGGGCTCTAGTATTCACCTGTACTTTCAGGTTGATCATTTCTAGCTTCCACATATGAGAGATAACATACGGTACTTGCCTTTCTGTGTCTGGCTTATTTGCTTAACGTAATGCCCTCCAGTTCCATCCATTTTGCTGCAGATGGCAAGATTTCATTCTTTATGGCTGAATAATACTCCATTTTGTGTGTGAACCCACCCACACACCACATTTTCTTTATCCATTCATCAATTGAAGGGCATCTAGATTGATTCCATAGCTTGCCTTTTGTGACTATAGTGCTGCTATAAACATGGGTGCAAGTAACTCCATTGTAAGCTACCTTTGATTCCTTGGACTGTATGCTCAAGAATGGTAGAGCAAGATCATATGGGAATTCTATTTTAGTTTTTTTTTTTTTGAGGAACCTCCATAGCAATTTCCATAGTGGTTGTACTTATTTATTTGTTTGTCTGTACTGGGGTTTGAACTCAGAGCCTCAGATTTGATAGACAGGCGCTGTATCACTTGAGCTATGCCTCCAGCCCTTTTGCTTTAGTTATTTTTCAGCTAGGGTCTCACTTTTGCCTGGGGCTGGTCTTGGATTATAATCTTTCTGCCTTCTTTTGTTGTAACGACTAATGTGAACCACCATGCCCAATTTGTTGGGATGAGGTCTTGCTAACTTTTTCTCTGTGCTGGCCTTGAACTGTGATCCTCCTGATTTCCAACTCCTGAGTAGCTGGAGGTGTGAGTCACCACACCTGCCCTTAGCTGTACTAATTTATATTCCCACTGGTGTTATGTTTCTTAAAACCAAATTTAGGATGACAGTTTAGATTTGAGTCTTTAATCCATTTTGAGTTGATTTTTATAACTGATGAGAGATGGGGGTCTGGTTCCTTTATCTGCATGTGGATATGTGATTTTTCCTAGCACCATTTATTGAAAAGAGTATCCTTTTTCCATTAATGCTCTTAGAACCCTTGCTCTTTCTACTACCTTTGTTCTTAGTACCTTTGTTGAAAATCAGTTGGCTGTAGATGTGCGGGTTTACTTCTAATCTTTCTTTTCTGCTTCATTGGTCTGTATGTCTGTTTTCAAGCCAATACTGTGCTGCTTTTCTTACTAGTGCTCTGTAGTATGTTTTGAAGTCAAGAATTGTGATGCCAATAGTGAGATATTTTCTTAACTGCATCACTGGGTTGGGGGTGTAGCTCAGTGGTAGTACACTTGGCTAGTATGTATGAGGCCCTGGGTTCCATTCCTCTCAGCCCTACAGAAAAATGAAATAAAACAAAATGCAAAACTACATTGCTATTATGCCTAACAAGTGATAGTAACTCTTAATATATTCTAATGTTCAGTTCATACTCAGTTTCCACAAATATTTTTGTCATACTGGGGTTTGAACTCAGGGCTTCACACTTGCTAGGCAGACACTCTACAACTTGAGCCACATCTCCAGCCCAATAAATTACCTGTTTATTTATTTGTTGGTGATACTGGGGTTTGAATTCAGAGCCTTGCACTTACTAGGCAAGTGCTCTACCACTTGAGCTATGCCTCCAGCCCTCCAAGTATCTTTTTAAAGATTTATTCAAATCAGGTTCCAAATAAGGTCCACATACTACATTTGATGTAGTCTTAAATTTGTTTTTCTTTCTTTGGTTAATGGTTTTATTAAGACATAACTCATATATTACGCAATTCATTCACTAAAAGTGTCCAATTTAAAGTGCACAGCTGAATGGCTTTTGGTGTGCTCACAAAGTACAATCTCTTAAGTCTGTTTTAATACTGATTTACTCTTTTTTTTTTTATGGGACTGGGCTTTGAACTCAGGACTTTGTGCTTGCAAAGCAGGAGCTTTACTGCTTGAACCACACCTCTAACCATCTTAAGTCTGTTTTAATTCAGAATGGTTTTTATTCCCACTGCCCTCTTACTGTTTCATATCATTAACTTGTTGAAAACCTGGATTCCTACTAATTTCCTACTTTTTGCTTCTTCATGGTGTTTTTTTTTATGTGGTTCTCTACCCCTCGTATTTCCTGTAAACTGAATTTAGATCTATAGCCTTATATTAGATTTAGATTCAGTGTACTGATGCTATGTTGCTGTATCTCTCATACTGATTATGTCATTTCAGGAGGTACAGGCTATCCCACTCATACTGATGCTAAGATTGATGTGTTTATTCAAGTAGAGACAGCTTGACCTCTCTTTGTGAAGTTCAGTTTTTCCCTTTTCTGATCAGCAACATTTTATGGTTTGTACTTTGTCATTCTGTGATTAGCTGGTTCCTGATAAGTCTTGCAATGTCCATGACTGATCGTTGCTGTAATCATTTTCATTAGGGGGTATAAAATAACACCGATTTTGTCATTTCCTATACTATTCATTAGCTGGAATTCTATAAAAAACATCTTTCCATTATCAGTCAGTGCTGTTTGATTTATAAAGGAAAGGCAAGATCAATGCTTCATTCTTGTCCTTTATTTATATGTTTTTCAGAATAAGGAGTTGGTTCATTAGCTAGTGACATGGTGTTTCCACTTTTTTGCTTTTTAAAGAAGGCATCTGTGAATTCGTGGTTTTAATATATTGTGTGTATTTCAATAACTTGTTATTTTTCCTCAGGGTATACTATCATGGTCAGTCGGGGCTCCTGTGTCTTTTCAACTTATCGCCATCAGTCTTTGATACCTTCCTGCTCTCTGGTACAAGAAGATGTCTTAGGTTCACCTTATATATTTTCTGCCCAAATTCTGGAGTCAGTAATTTCTCCAAGGAATCCTGGGTTCCTTTTGTAATGGGAGCTATTTAGGCACCGAAATCTGGGCACTTGGAACTGTGTGTTGGTACTGTTTGTCATTGTTTCTAGGCCTTCTCTGTGAGAAGGCCTATAAACTCATGAGTTTATATGGTCACTTCTAAGTCAAATTTTACTGTACAGATTTTAGCTATTTGACTTTGTTTTTTTCTCTTAAGTTGAATTCTCGGTTCCCAGCAACAGTTATACCCAAGCATCCAAACTGAGAAAAATTGTCTGGTTGTGGGGTGGGGGTGTTACTTGATTGTTCTTTGCACAGGAAGAGCCTGGTGGCACAAAGGAGCTCTTATTTGTACTAGAAACTTGATTTAGGAATCAGCAATGAGAAATCTCTTCTGCTTTATAGAAGTCTTGCTTGGAAAATCAAGTTAAGAACAAAAAATACCTTAAGCCAGGTGTGGCAGCGCACTTGGGAGGCTGAGGCAGGAGTATTTTGAATTCTGGACCATCCTGGGCTACATAGTGAGACCCTGTCTCAAAAAAATAAAAAAAGGATAGAAAAAGTACCTTGGTAACTCAGTGATCTGAGCAAAGAATAGCACCTGTCTACCTGCACCTCCCTGAGGCTCCTTTCAAGCACTGAGGTCATTGCTTCAAGTTTTTCTCTCAGCTGATGCATTTCAGTTTTCCAGACTGCCATTTCAATTGTGTTTTCCTCTATTGTTTCATCAAGTCTTTGGAATCTGTCACAGTGAAGAGCTCTTTTCCTTTAGTTTTTTTTATTTTGAAAAGTAGATTAATGCATTGTACACCCATGTGCCCCCCCACCTAATACACCAGTTGACATCGTACCACATTTGCCTTGCTGTCTTGCCCTCTATAAATACGGACATACACGTTTTTTCCTTTTACCCATCAGAGTGCATGTATCTCCTAAGTACAACGTAATTCTCCTACATAATCTCAATGCCCTTTTATTATATCCAAGAAATTTAATAGTGAAGAAAGTCTAATCTATGATCCATATTCAGATTTCACCTTTATAGCTTTTTCTCTGGACTCAGGACTGTGTATTGCCTTTAGTTATCATGTTTGCTTAGAACAGTTCCCTTTCTGTTTTCTGCCTTACGATGCTGATAGCCTGATGCCAGTGGCTCACACCTATAATCCTAGCTACTCAGGAGGCAGAGATCAGGAGGATCATGGTTTGAAGCCAGCTGGGCAAATAGTTTGTGAGAGCCTATCTTGAAAAAAACTTTCACAAAAAAGGACTGGTGGAGTGGCTCAAGGTATAGGCCCTGAGTTCAAACCCCAGCACTGCAAAAGCAACAACAACAAGAAAAGATGCTGATATATATTTGATATATTTGATTTATTAAGTCAGTTGTCTTGCAGAATGTTCTGTACTCCATATTTGTTTCTTTATGATTAGAATCAGGTTAAACTTTTAGGCAAGTGCCAGAATCCTTTTAATAATGTGAACTTTCTAATATACAGGTCAGTCTGTAACCAGAATGCTCCCTTAATTATTCCAGTGTACACATATGGTCAGTAAGCATTACCTAAAGCACATGGAAAAAGACTAAAACTAGTGGGCAATTGTTTGTCTCAAATTTTTATTAGATAATACCACATCTTTTTGTTTTGTTTTGTCTTGTGAGGCAGGATGTCAATTATAGCCCAAACGGGCCTTGTACTTCAGATCCTCCTGCCTTAGCCTCCCTATTGCTGGGACTACAGGCATTACCATGCCTAGCTTAGATAATAGCACATCTGGAACTGAATTCTTCTCTTTTCTTTAGGCCAGCATTTGTAAATCCACTCATCCCTGAAAACCTAGAGGAAGAAGAGCTGTTTAAACAAGGAGAGTGTATGTTAAATTTTAAATGTTTTCATTAGTGTATGATAGCTATGCAGAGTGTTTGGTTGTGACATTTCCATATATAAATACATTGTACCCTTGTATGGTTCATTCCCTCCATTATTCTCCCTTTTCCCCCAGTCCCCTTCTTAAAATGACTTCAACAGGTTTCAATGTTCCATATTCATACATGTGTAGAAAGTACTTCAACCATATTCACCCTCCTTTATCCTCTTCTTTTACCCTCCCCCTCCCACTGTTCCCCTCCTCTTAGCATGACCCATTTTATATTCCTGTCCTTCATTGTTTCAGTGTTCAATGTGGTTTTGCCTTGGTATTTTGCCTATAAATTTAGTGTACTTCTATTACTCTTCCTTATCTTTTTCCCCTACTACATTAATTTGTTTATAGTAAAATAAATTTTAAAAGCACATGAATTATGTTTCAGAAGAAATAGTTAAGATTATGTGTACCAAATTTCTTCCCCGTGCCAAGAATTTACTGAAACTAAAAATACCTTAGTTTTGTTCTTTGGAGTCCAAGCTTTGAGCAGTTTTATTGATTGGATAGCATTTATTAAGTGAAGCAATTTGTTTTTTCTTTTTTGGTGGTACTGGGTACTTGCTGAGCAAGGGCTCTACCACTTGAACCATGCCTCCAGCCCCTTGTCTTCTCATTTTTAGTATAATGAGAAATGTATCTTAATGTTATGACTGCTGGTCAAGGCCCTAGATCATGATGATAACCAGTGTACTCACACTAAACTGATAAAATTTCCATCTGAAAGCAAAGACTCACTGAAAAAAAATGTGCGGTGCTGGGGATGGAACCTAGGATCTTGTGCATGCTAGGCAAGTGCTCTACCACTGAGCCTTATCGATACCCAGCCTCTTGTTTGAAATATCATGTGACCTCTGTAGCCTCCTCTTGGATATATGTATAATTTCTGGAGGGAGTTTGAAATTTAGAAGTACTGCCTTTGTTTGCAGTAAGACACTCTAAGTCAGGCCCCCATGTGCTGTACTGTGACCCTTCTGATCATAGCTCCGTATTTCCTCGTGTTCCAGTGAACAAGGGGAGAAGGATTGCCCTCAGCTCTACTTCATTACTGAAGATGGCTCCCAATGCTGACGAGAGGAGCACCATACATGAAATGTTTCTCAGTACACTGGATCCAAAGTAAGTTACGAGGGTGAAAAATCTAGGTTGAAAAGCATTGGTCCTCTCCAGAACCATATTCATCTGAGTATATTGAGAGTGTTTGAAAATGTTTTCCTTCTCAAAAGTGAAAACATGGCATAACAATATTTAATTCGTCTCTATTTGTGCAGGACTATAAGTTTTCAGAGTCGAATTTTGCCCCCTAATGCAGTGTGGATGGAGGATACAAAACTGAAGAGCTTGGAAGTTTGCCACCCTCAGGTATTGGAACTTTGTGGTAAATCATCTGAAAAGGCTAGCCTGCATTCATGCTACTTGTCTAAGATTTGATGCACCTTTAAACTGATATCTCTTCCATGGTATCATTAATTCCTTTGTTCTATATACAAAGGTAGTCATAGATTTGTATTTATTAATACTTATTTATGGCCTATAGGAGCGGAACATTTTCAATCGGATCTTTGGTGGTTTTCTCATGAGGAAAGCATATGAACTTGCATGGGCTACTGCTTGTAGCTTTGGGTGAGTAAGATTTAAGGCAGTGTTAACTTCTGACAAAGAATTTATATCACCCCACTGACAGGAAATGTTTTGGACCAGACTGGGTGTGTTTGATATCTGTCTGTCTGTCTATCTATTTAGTAGCCTCATGATATTAAGCAAGCACTCTACCACTGAACTCCTAGCCTAGGAATATGTTGTTTTTAAGTGAATGCTACATGGATACCAGCTTTCATTTTAGAAGGCTATTGCCCTGACTTGGTATGTTAGACATTAAAGACCTGAGGTCTGGGTATGGTGGTATACCCCTGTAATCCCAACTATTCACAGTTCGAGGCCAGCCCAGGCAAGTTAGTGAGGCATAGGTGGGAGGATCGAGGTGCAAGGCCTGCCCCAAGCAAAAACATGAGACCCTATCTGAAAAATAACTATACTATAGCAGCAAGGGCTGGAGGCATGGGTCGAATGGTAGAGTACCTGCCTAGCAAGGATGAGGCCTTGAGTTCAAGCTCCAGTACCACTAAAAATGTAAAAAAGACCTGCTGAGAAAACATGCGATAATATATCAAAGGGAAAAAGATACAGTGATTTGGGCCCTATGTGTTCACAATGTTATCTCTTATGTTTGTTGCTGGTATGACCATTTTCTCCTTCTCTAGGTTTATTCTTAGATTACTTCTATTTTGCTTGAGCTGGTTGTTAGGGAAAAAGCTTGAGGTCATCTGAATTTTGTAGTTTACTCCAAATTCTGCCTTTCTCCAATAGTGGTTCCCGAGCATTTGTGGTAACAGTGGATGATATCATGTTTCAGAAGCCTGTTGAAGTGGGCTCATTGCTCTTTCTTTCTTCACAGGTAGGTGTATGATGACAGATGAAAACCTTTTTTTGTTTTTTGGGCTTAGAGGATAGGGTTCTGTATTCCAAAGCTATTCTTTGTCTTGTGACTGCCTTGCCCCCCTTTCCACTGCAATTTACTAACTATAGTGTCTATAATCTGTCAGGTATGCTTTACTCAGAACAATTACATCCAAGTCAGAGTACATAGTGAAGTGGCCTCTCTTCAGCGCAAAGAGCACACGACCACCAACGTCTTTCATTTTACATTCATGTCGCAAAACGAAGTGCCCATGGTGTTACCCAAAACATATGGAGGTAAGGAGTGATTATTGCTTCTCCCTAATGGGAGAGAAATTTAAAAGAAATTTTTCTTTTTTTTGTGGTAGGGGATAGAACCCAGGGCCTTCCAATATGCTAGGCAAGAGTGCTACCACTGAGCTATATCCCCAGCCTTCTTTTAGATCGTTGTAGGAAGTGCATTCTTTCCTTAAGCCCAAGAACATGCTCTTAGATTTTGCTTTTGAGGTTCTGCAGCCCTGAAGGCCAAATTCCTTGTGACTCTCAGGTGGCTGTTGCTGCTCTGCTCACCTGACTGTTGTAGGCAGGGCTGGTACCTGCTGCAAGCTGCCACTGGTAGTGAAAGACTAGGACAGCCAAAGGAAAGGGATGGGAATTGGGGCCTGCTTCCCTGGGAAGACTGCACAACCCCAGCCCCACAGGGCATCCCCATTGCTGGTTTTGCATGCTCATTGCTATCCCATTGTTCCCAGGACTCACTTATTGGTATGATGTTCTAAGGTGCTGCAAATTTCTCCAGAGTTGTCTTTCTTTTATTTCAGAGTCCATGCTGTATTTAGATGGGCAGCGTCATTTCCACTCCATGAGTGTCCCGGTGGCCTTGAAAAAGGACTACGTTGTGGAGCCCTAGGAAAACCTCACTTGTTGCAAATCAGCACTCCACTGACATAGTGCCTGATGAAGGCCCAATCAAGTTTATTGGTTTTAGCATCCTCCATAGAGGAGGTTGTATTCATTCAGCTTTTAGGATGATCAGAAAAGAGAGGGAGAGTGGCTGGATGGAGTTGAGGGTACAAAGAGTTACTAAACAATAAATACTTTCAAAACTGTATTGTGAACCGTCCATGTTGACCCTTTTCTCCCCTTCTAAGGAATTAGGGTAGAATGCCTTGTTACACAGTTGGATGCATTCTTTTTCCTTCATACTGCAGCCATCGGCATGCAAGATTTCCTGCCAGGGCATCTGGATGACTTTTTCTCTATTTTGGTACTGGAAATTGAACACAGGGCCTCATGCTTGCTAGGCAAGCACTCTACACTTGAGCTATGTCCTCAGGTTCTCTTTTTAAAATTTTTTTTGCCTTTACGACTGGGTATCACTAACTTTGCCTGGGCTGCTTCAAACTTATGATCCTCCTGTCTCCACTACTGAGTAGCTGGGATTAAAGGTATGCACCACTATGTCCAATAGGGATGACATTCTTTAAACCTGGCCAGTTTCCCTATGTTGTCTAAAATCCCATCAACCCTATATGATTATATTTTTCTTCCTTCTTCCAGCATTTGTTATTGGCAGAGGGTAGATGAAAAGTGGGGTGAAAGAATTCAACAAAGGAGATGGCATCTATAAAGATTTGTGGGAAGCTTTACATCTAAAAATACCATGAGGAGGTGTTCAGCGATGTCCTAGATGAGGAAACACATGACTGTTTGCTCATCCTTTCATTCTCTACATGGCTGTGCATGCCATGCTAGGGGATGGACGGGAGATACCTGATTAAATAATAATAACAGTTGCTTCTGCCACAGTGCACTTACCTTGTGCTAGGTAGACACTGTCCTCAGCTCTTGCCATGTATTAGCTCATTTGTTTCTTCCAGCCAGCACTGTGAGGCAGGTTATGGAAGCACAGATAGGCTAAGTAACTTAAGGAGTTAACCAGGCAGTGTGGGTCCAGGTTGCTCTTGAGCAGTATGCCATAGTATCGAGGAATATAGCAGAGGAGGCCACAGTTACCTAGAAACCCACAGGGAGGAATCCTGATTTTTCGTTCTTTTTTTTTTTTTTTTTTTTTTTTTTTTTAGTGCTGGGGATCAAACCCAGAGCCTTGCATATGTTCTACTACTGACTCACATCCCCAGCCAGTGTTCCTATTAATCTTCAGCCAAGTCAGTTACACCTTGATGTGAAGAGAACTTGATCAAGTTTAGAAGGGACCTCAAAAAAAAAACAAAAAACAAAAACAGGCTATGTAGAAGAATAAGGGAATGTGAAAAAGTGCTCCCTAAATAAAAGCAGTCTTTGGTATGGGTTCTAGATCAGTGATCACAAACCTGACTCTGCCTTGGAACTAGCTGGTATGCTTTTAAATAAATGTATCCTAGTTTAGTGATGGTTATTAAAATCAATGGTATTTTGGCAGTGATGGGAACAAACAAACTATCTCTCAGAGGAATACAATTTAGGTCAGTGGCATCAAGGGTGTGCTGTACTATGTGATTTGTCTCCATGCTGTAGTACCATCCTGAGATTTACCTGGCCCTTCAGCACAGCGTTGTGCTTACCTCCCTATGACACAGTGGGGATGGATGTGGGTAGGTGGGATGATAGGAAAGGATAGGCACTGAGGAGTTTTCTGAAACTCCCCAGCAGTTAGGTTCAGCAGGTTCAGTTAAGAAACCTACATACTTCTATGTATATTATAAATGATTTAATTAACCATTTGCTTTTTTTTTTAATTGGTGGTACTGGGGTTTGAACTGAGGGCCTCATGTTTGCTAGGCACTTGAGCCACTTGAACCATTCTGCCAGTCCTTTTTTGTGATTTTTTTTTGAGGTAGGGTCTCGCAAACTCTTTTGCCTGGGCCAGCTTCAAACCACGATCCTTCTATCTCTGCCTTCTGAGTAGCTAGGATGAGAGGCATGAGCCACTGGCACCCGGCTGTATTGTTTTTTTTTTTTTTTTCTTCAAGCTAGGGTCTCATGAACTATTTGCCTGGGCTGGCTTTGAAACGTGATCCTCTTGATTTGTGCCTCCTGAGAGTAGCTAGGATTATAGGCATGAGCCACCGGCACCCGGCTTAATCAACCATTTGCTGCTGTACACTGAGTCTTCCTAGAATTTTTTTTTTGCTATTATAAACAGTGTTGCAGGAAATATCCTAAATACCTAAAACATTTAGCCCCTAAATTATTTCTTTGGGAAAAGTATAGAGAAGTGAGCTATCTAGGTCAAATACTATGCAAATGGTGAAGTTTTGAATATGTATTTTACGTAACCCTACATGTATGTATTTTATATGCACACATTCACTGACTCTTCAGGTCCTCTGAACTTTGTCAAATTTTTCTTTTAAAAATATCTTTGCCATTTTTATAGGTGAAAAATGACATACACTAATTGTCTTTGAATTCTGTTGATCAAACATTGCTTATTGTGTTTTAAATTTAACTGTTCAAGTAATTTTGGATAACAGAATCTTAATCCAAAATATGTTAACTTCTACCAATACAGTTATTATAAACAGGCTTTTATTTTTAATATAGGACTAAAAGAAGATGAGATGACAAACTAAAGGATACACAGTTGGCTGTGGGTGGTTAGTGTTCTCCTCTCCCTTAAAAAGCAGATGACTTTTTAATTTTTTGAACGTTTTATTAGTATATGATAGTTATATAGGGGGTTTCCTTGTGATATTTCCATATATACATATATTATACCCTGATTTGGGTCATCCCCTCCATTATTCTCACTTTTCCCCCACTCTCCTTAAAATGACTTTGACAGGTTTCATTGTTCCTTATTCATACATGTATAGAAAGTACCTCAACCATATTCACCCTCCTTTACCATTTTCATTTACCATCCCCCTCCCACTGTTCCCCTCCTCTTAGCATGACCTGTTTTACATTCCTGTCCTTTGCTTTAGTGTCTGTTCATTGTTCAATGGGGTTTTCCCTTGGTATTTTACTTACAAATATATTGTACTTTAATCAGTCTAACCTTTCTGTTATCCTTCCTTCCCTTTTCTCCCTCCTCTGTGTTGTTCAACAGGACATTTTATTTTTACATTAAAGGATGGATGATTAGGCATCAGCAAAAATGTTCTTAAAACTGTTGTTTGCTAAAAGTTCATTTAATTAAACAAGATCAATAGTGTCTAGGTAAATTTCACAAAATGAGACCCTGCCTTCTGATTTAATTTTCAGATAAGACTTGGCAAAACCTGAGTATCATGTTTTTTTGAGACAGTGTGTGGCTATGTAGTCCAGGCTGCCCTGGAACTTGTGATTCTGCTGCCTCTCCCTCCCAAGTGCTGGGATTAAAAACATGCTCTACCATGCCTAGACCCCAATTATCATACTTTCTGTCTATAAACACAGAAGTCAACATAAATGGTACTATAAGGAAGTAAATGTAGTTATTTCAGGTTCCATAATATAAGATACTGTGAAATAACTCTCCAGTAAATTCTTATTTTTCTGCTGTGCTTTATTTATTTATTTTTTGGTGGTGTTCTGACCCAGGGCCTCATGCAAACTAGGCAAGTGCTTTACCACTGAGTTATATCTTGAGCCTTTAAAAAATTTTTTTTAACAAGTTTATTTGAGTAACAAGCAATTCATGAACTGGAGCTGCAAGACCTGAAGAGGTGTAGTGTGTTCCCAGGCACTTTCAAATCTGTGAGAATTGTCAAACTTAGTTCATCACAGCTATTAACAACAGAACAATAAAAAGAACAACAAAACAGCTATTAATAAAATAACAAGTTTATCTGAGTAACAAGAAATTTATGAAGTGGGGAGTATAAGGCCCAAAGAGGTGTAGTATTCCCAAGGTATTTTCAAATTACTGAGAATTGTCAAACTTAGTTCATCACAGCTATTAACAATAGAACAATAAAACAGCTATTAATAATAGGAGCCATTGCTTATCACTGAGTTTTACAGAAACATTTGTGTATTCTCTGTAAGAGGCTGAGGTAGGAGGGTCTCTACTTTCAGGCCAGCCTGGGTTACACAGGGAGACCCTGTTTTCCAAAATGGAACAAAACAAACCTCAAATACAATCAAACTAAACAAGACTAAAAAAAAGTACCTACAGAACAAAGGACATTTTTATAAGCATCTAATGACAAATTTATAAAGATTCTATATTAAAGATAGGTTTACAATAAAGCTTTACTAGATTACAAAACACAACTATATCTTTGTGTATCTCTCAAACATTTGGAAAGTAATTAGGAAATGAACATTTTAAATACATTATAATTGGCAAAATTTGGTGCCTCAAACATTTGGAAAATAACTTTTTTTCCCTCTATAGGAAATGAACACTTTACAATTGTCTGACTGAATGCTTCAACTGGATCTTAAAAGGAGGTTGCTACCTTTCATGTCTTGAGTGCTCTATGTCCGTTTACCTTTCAGAAGTTTATCTGGGGCCTTCTTCCTCTGCTCTGTCGAGCTTTGGGGCAGCGAGGATGTAGAGCGTAGCTGATACTCATCTGGAGATCCTTTTTGCCGGTTTGGTCTCATTTCCTCCTTATCCAGCTGCTTCTGGAGCTGCAGTGCGAATAGCCTATCCTGCTTCTCTTGTTTATGTTTCTCAAAAATTAGATGCTCCAAATCGGTCAGTTTTTGGGTATAGTTTATTTCTGATCCCTGTTGACCTGAGGGAGATTTGGGGACCATTTCCCCATTTGCAGAAAAGCAGGCATCTGTGGCTGTTTCAAAGGCCGATTCCTGGTGTTTTCTGTTGGAGATATCCTTGCTGATCAGCGGACAAGACTGTTGTCTTGCTGTCCCAGCTGTGCTGTTTGTAGTTTTCTGTGTTAGAGCTGGTACCATGCTCCTGCTGTCTGCTTTGCCACAAGTTTCAGCTGCAACTCCAGGTTTTGGTGTCTCAAGCATGACACAATTTGGTCCTGTCTTGACTTTTTCTCTGAGGCATCTTTCTGCACCATAGATAAAAACCTGTGACGTAGGTGACTTTCTTGAGGAGTTTGTGCTTTGCTTTTGAACTCCAAGACCTCTTTGTGCAGAGTCTGCTGGCATATTTTGTCCAATTTCCGTGGCTTGCCACATAGGGCCTTGCGCATCACTGC